CCTACCATAAAAATGTGTGCTCCCCCACAACTCCCACACCCTTAATATGTGCTGCTGCCCAAACCCACCCCCTAACACACACACACAACTCCCACACCCTTAATATGTGCTGCTGCCCAAACCCACCCCCTACCACACACACACCCACACACACACAACTCCCACACCCTGAAAATTAAAAAAAAAACAACTTTGAATTGCATTAACATGCCATCGGTACCGGCACTATTGGTCCGAAAATGGTTCTTGCAGAGATCATTTGAGAAACGTATCTTACACCGGACATACATATTTGGAAATTGAAGAAAACGTAATATAATTCTGCTCTTTAGTATCATGTCTGCTCGAGTATGTTTGTAATGTGCTACAGCTTGGTGATACCAACGACAGCCATAGGCCACCGTAACACGCTACAGCAATGGTGCAACAGTATTAAGCCATTGTTCAACATGCTGTACATTGACACTCCATTATGCTGCTGGGACATCCTAAAAATCGCCATGACAGAATCCCTACTACACGTAGAGCATATTAATTCTATTATTATTACTACAGCATGCACAAATGTGCAAACCTTAGGCTTTGTAGAATCGTTAAAAAAAGGATGCAATTTCGTATGCAGTCTTAGTTATTAACTATTATTAAGTATTAAGTACTTACTTATATGAAAAAGAGATCTTTGAGGCGAAACCAACAGGGGCAAGGGTCAGTTCATTTTAGGGCAAATTAAAGAACAATGTAAAATGTTTATGCTTAATAAATAATTCAATTTTGACGTTTTCTAAATGACAAGGCACATGTATATATATATATCTATAAATAGATATTGTCAACCTAAACACTTCTCTATGTAACAATGTCCGTCACTAACGCCAAGGTTCAATAGCACGCATAATAAAATACACAACTTTCTTTTGTTTTAGGGAAATAGTGTAATACATTTGCGTGTAAAAGGTTGTGGGGCATTAGAAAATTAATAAAGTTTAGGGGTGATGGCTTGCCGGGAATGGGGGGGGGGTGGGGGGTGTAGCACTTATTGGGAATCTTATAAAGTGCAATACTTGAACGCATGTTTTCTCAAGCAACTTTACTAGATGGGAAGTTCACGCATTGTGGTCGCCATTGTTTTATGGGCCAAAGTGAGTATATATATATATATATATTATACAATGCATATAATACTGTATTAAATATATTATAACTAGTTGTAGGATATTTAAACTTAAGGTAACTAATAGATAATGTAGTGCTTCAAGTACCCGAGATAATAATAATTTTAATAAAAAAGTGAAAAGGAAGAAAATGGGCACTCCACACAGCACACAAGACGAGTGATTGTAATTGAGCCCTCCTCCTCGCCTCGTATGAGAGACTATACAACCCGTCTCCACGAATACCCCCCCCCCCCCCCAAAAAAAAAACAAAAAAAAAAAAAAAAAAAAAAAAAAAAAAAAAAAAAAAAAAAAAAAAAAAAAAAAAAAAAAAAAAAAAAACTAAAAAAAAAAACCAAATTTTTTTTTTATAAAAAAAAAAAAAGAAGATTAATTAGCATTTGAAATCTAATCAAAGAAGACCAGCCCCCCTGGACTGCATCTGCGCCCGATTGACGATAGTGAATTTGTCGTTATATTTTTACGTGAAATACCCGGTACTCTATTCAAGGAAGTGCAGGCATCCAAACAGTTTCTGCTTGGTCTTTTCTCCATTGCCCGGACGTAAGGTGGAGAAGGGCGGTTCGCCTCACGCGGCACTTACTTCGGAGCGGTATTTTCGGTCCACTTTACATCTACTTTATAACAGCTTAATGTTTATATGTATTCTGTATGGTTTTCGGTAACTAAATGCGGCAAAATCACCCACCACCCCGGGTACCACACACTTTAGATAACTCCCACGACACCCACGACACCCACCCACGACACCCACCCACCCACGGCACCCACCCACCCACGACACCCACGACACCCACCCACCCACGACACCCACCCGTGAGACTATTTTCTAGAATTTTGGATGGATTCTTTCAGTTAATTTATGAGAAGTTATGACGTTAATGATGAAGAATTCGTTTTGAAGACCCCCACCCACCCGTGAGACTATTTTCTAGAATTTTGGATGGATTCTCTCAGTTAATTTATGAGAAGCTATGACGTTAATGATGAAGAATTCGTTTTGAAGACCCCCACCCACCCGTGAGACTATTTTCTAGAATTTTGGATGGATTCTTTCACTTAATTTATGAGAAGTATGACGTTAATGATGAAGAATTTGTTTTGAAGACTGTTATATCTGTTGACGTGAATTACCTGTTTTTTTTAGTTAGCATTATTTTCATTTGTATTATTAATCTAACGAATTACAGCTCGATGCTCATAATGTTAGCTGCCATTTCGTTTCAATATTTATTGGTTAAAAGTTTTAGATATGCTTTACGGGACTCCCCCCCCCCAACCCCACCCCCAACCTCTTTTAAAAAAAAAAAACAGTGATAAACCTCCTGTTATGAAATCTATCAATACCATTTGAAAATTGAAGCAAATTACAAGCCATTAAATAATGCTGTTTATTTGTAAAGAACGGTTCTGTATTAAAAATAAAAAAAAAAAAAAAAAAAAAAAAAAAAAAACTTTGGAGGAAAATAATGTGCTACTTAACACCCTTTACTTTGCATGTATGCACGGTTGTTTTAGTTTTAAATGTACAGAGATTTTCACTGAAGTTGTGTTAGCACTTGATTAAGATCCTGCAGATGCAGTTGAAACTGTGTTATCACCACATTAAGATCCTCCAGATTCAGCTGAAGTTGTTTTATAACCACATTATGATCCTGCACGTTCAACTGAAGTTGTGTTTTCACCAAATTAAGATCACGCAGATTCAGCCGAAGTTATGTTATCGCCACATTAAGATCCTGCAAATTCAGCTGAAGTTGTGTTTCTAAGATCCTGCAGATTCAGCTGAAGTTATGTTATCGCCACATTAAGATCCTCCAGATTCAGCTGAAGTTGTTTTATAACCACATTAAGATCCTGCAAGTTCAACTGATGTTGTGTTATCGCCACATTAAGATCCTGCAGATTCAGCTAAAGTTGTGTTATCGCCACATTAAGATCCTCCAAATTCAGCTGAACTTTTGTTTTTACCACATTAAGATCCTGCAGATTCAACTTGATGAAACAAAAAAAAAAAACAACAACAAAAAAACAACAAAAAAACAAACAAAACAAACAAACAAACAAACAAAAAACAAGGAAAAACGGGAGCAACTTTTGAAATAAACACATTGCTGTTTTCCCTCCATTAAAAATAAAAAGACTTCCTTTGTATAGTTTGCGGAAAATATTCCAAAGTCTATTGTTTAAAGAATTTCTTTCTACGCACCAATCCATCGAGTTTGTTTGTAGCACCAAAGTTTGTTATCCCGCAGGACCGTCTCGTTAGGGGTCGTACGCAAATTACGTCAAGCAAAAAATGACATTTTCAGACCCCCCCTCTCCCCCCTGTCACAAAGTATCACAAACAAATTACTTAGACTCAGACACAGACTCAGACTCAGACTCAGACTCAGACTCAGACTCAGACTCAGACTCAGACCTAGACTTAGACTTCCCAAATTACGTCAAGCAAAAAATGACATTTTCAGACCCCCCCCCTCCCCCCTGTCACAAAGTATCACAAACAAATTACCCCCCCCCCTCCCCAACCGTGTCACGTCACACCTAAAAAAAATTAAAAAAGATACATAAAATTTACGTACCAAGTACCAGTAACTAAACTAAGATTTTATTTTTTTCTTTACATTTTCCCAAAATGGATTATGATGTAGTACGGTATTATTAGAAAACTGTGACGTAAAATGCAAAACAACGAAGTCCTCTCCGAGCCGAATGTAAAATGGCCACCAAAGTTTTTGCGTCATTTTTCGATATGAGCAGAAGGTGAGCGCGATTGAGTTTCACTGTACTTATAATACTTGAGGCAATTTCGACCTGAAATTAATGTTTTTAAAATTAATTGAATAAAGATTTTTCAAAATTAGAGCGCCCCCCCCCCCCTCTTTCCCCTGTCACAAAGTGTCAAAAAAATTCTTGACCCCTCCCCTTCCCTCTGAGCGTGACGTAATTTGCGAACGACCCCTTACGCTTGGTCGTGTCCGCCTCGTGTTGAACTGTCTGTACCTGTGTCATTGAGTTGCTGCGCTGAGTATGTCTTGCCATGGGAAGGTTGATGGTGCTTTATGAAGAATCGTGTCGCTCGTCACTTTGACCAGGCTCTTCGTAAGCTGGCGTTGTTAAAAAAAAAGTAAATAATCATTCTTTGTCGATATTTTTAAGATTTTGAATTGAATAGTACAAAGTAGAAAAAAATGTATAATATTGCCCCCACAAAATTCAGAGTTTCTATCAAAAGCGAGTTTAAACGCTGTTAAAGTAGAAACTAATTTGAAATTTCTTAAAATGCATTACGCATAGAAAGTATGCGCAGAAAGTATTTCCAGAAGTCATAAAAAAACAAATATCAAAGTTTCTTCTACATTTTATTGGAATCCTTTGGCTTCATAGAGTGTACATCGACACTTCTGCGCATTGTGGCCACTCTATTTGGGATTTATGTTAGGACATCATATCAGGTCCATCATATTTGGCAGGCATGTTCAACAATCATATTGGCTGTCATTAATAGCTTTTTTTTGTTTTCCGAAATGATGTCAAAATGTGCAGGCACGAGAAATTTAGTTTATGTGATTTCTTTTATTATCAACTTGTTGTATATTTAAACTTGAGATAGTTAATTTATTAGATATAAACATTCACTGGATCCTGACATTTTTTTAATCCCCAGTTCGTGTCCAGAAATCTTTGCTGTCAAACTTCATGTCCACTTCCTTGCCACACCAAGCACAAACAAACATGCGCTGGAGACCAATATGGCCGAAGCAGAGTGTCACGCCACAACCGGAAATGCCACAATTTCCCCCGGAAGTAAAGGAGAAACGTAAGATGAGTTTCGAGTGCGAAGTGTGCGGCAAAGGATTGCCTTCCAGGCGAGAATACGTCGGCCACATGAATGGGCGGCACCTGGGGAAGAAACCTTTCGCCTGCGAGCTCTGCGGCCGGCAATTCGCCTACATTACGAGCCTTCCGATGCACAGGAAGACGTGCCCGGCGAGGCATCTCGCCAAGCCCGGGGCGTCCCAGACCGTGGCATCATCCAACGTTTTGGCTCAACCTCAACCATTGCCGGACAGGCTGTCAAAATCTCAAAGCATGCATACGCGTAGATCTGCTTCTTCCAATCCCATATTAGAAGCAGCAACAATTGCCGGTGACGAAGCGACTGCAGGATCTTTAGTTAAAGAGGAAATCTAGGAACTTTTGGACAAATATATGTGCATTTGGTATGCAATTTAACTTCATTGAAACTAATTAGATCGCTTGTTTTTTTTATATTTTTAAATAGACATTTTTTTGGTATTAACATTGTTTTCCCCCTTGTATTCAGTTTGATTTGTAAAAAAAAAATAAATTATACCATTTAAGTTTCCAACCATTTAGAAAAAGCAAAACATTTTCCATGATAATTTCTAGAGATTTGGGTCATTTTTTTGGTTCCGAATGTTAAGTACTTTTACTTTAAAAACTGAAATTTAAAATTGGTTTTGAGCGATGTCTTCTTGTATTAAAAATGTTTGGGTTTGAACGATGTCTGTCTGAACGATGTATGTTTCAACGATGTCTGTTTCAACGATGTCTGTCTAGCTATGATTTTCTGAACGATCGCTGTCGTAACGATGTCTGTATAAACGATATCTGTTTCAACGATGTCTGTATGGACGATGTCAATCTGAACGATGTCTGTTTGAACGATGTCTTTATGAACGGTGTCTTTATGAACGGTGTCTTTATGAACGATGTCTCTTACAACGATGCCTAAGTGATGTCTGCCTGAACGATGTCTGTATGAACGATGTCTGCCTGTTTCAACCTAAGTTGGCACGTTTTAACGTCTTACAGCAAAGTTTTTCCTAGTTCTGCATATCTTAAAAAGCTATTTGTTGCACATAACTCTTAGGTTTATGCAGGGCCATACCGAGGAAAAGCTGCGTCCCGGCGAAGCCTGAAAGTGGGGCCTCCTCCGCTCAACCAACAACTGATATTTGATTTTAAATATTTATATATATATGTAACTTACAATTTTAGCGCTCCCAATGGTGGCCCTCGGGTCGGCCACCCACTTCGCCCCCATGCACGGCTTTGGTCTAGTGACACGTTATTTAAATCCCTCAAAGTCAGGAAAATCTTCAATTCATCTATTTCAAAAAAAATGTTGTTTATATTTTTAATCAAGCAAGAATCAACTTGTCTCTGAACAGCCACTGAACAGAGACCCTGGTGTCTCTGCACGGATCCATAGGCGAAAAATGAAAACAAAAACCTTCAACAATAACTCTCGACATTTCAAAGTATTTCAATGTTACTTGCATTCATGCATAGTAGAACGGTTGGTTGGCTAACTTAAAAAAAATTATATCCACCAATCCCCGTGACGCTACAGCCCTTGTAGGGCTTTGGCCTGCCTCACCTCTTCCTTCTACTTAGACCTAACTGATGCTTTTCTTTTCCATGCTTGGATACCCAGCTGCTGTAGATAATTTTTTTGACACATCATTAAAATTTTCTGTCTACCTTTATTTTTCTCCTGATATTTGTTAGTTACAGTTTTAAAAAGATTTGCAATCGTAGTCACGTTGAACAAAATATTATTAAACGTTTTGTAAAGACCCCCCTCCCCCACTCATGCTTCATCTAGTTTATTGCCCAACGATGTGTAATAATAATAATAATAATAAGTGGTCTTATATAGCGCGGTACCCCGGCCTAGGGCTGGGCTCACCGCGCTGTACATATATAGCAAAGAGGCATAATCATAATATTAAATAAAATACATAAATGAAATGAAAACAACATATAAGCAAAACAACACCATAGGTATATTCATCCACCCACACCAGACATTTTTACAAGGAAACCCATGTACGTTTATTGCCCAACGATGTGTAGTAGTACTCACTGATTCACCCAAATCTTCTCTTGTGTATATTTTTACCCAACAGATCCCAGGGGTCAGCCGATGACACGCCAGCGCCACGGAAGCCCTAGAAGGCAAGGAAAAGGCATCTTCGGTTGTGAATTCTGTGACAAGGTCTTCTCCACGTTGAACCACTACGAAGGTCATAAAAATGCCAACCATTTGTCCCTGAAACCTTATAAGTGTCATTTTTGCGGTAAACAATTTGCCCACAAGAATAGTCTCAACTACCACCTCAAGTGTTGTAAATATCAATTTAACTAGCTGAATAGAGTTTTAAAAAAAAAACCAGTTACATTTTTATGTTAGTGAAGTTATTTATAGCAACCTTCAGCTTCAAGCTTCACCGTGAATAAGCTTTAAATTTTCTCAGTGGCGGTGCGCACATAATTCTTCATCTACCACTGTTTCCAACAATGTAGATGAGAGTGTACAGTGTAGTCCATACGGATATAACTCCCAGAGCATGAACATTAAACCAGGGCATTTGACTCTTATTTTTGTTTCTGTGTTAACAGCTAATAAAAGTTATACCTAGAGGAAAAAAAACAACAAAACAAACTGAACAACAAGATTGCATTTGTACCGGTATCTGAAGTTCCCATTTTAATTTTTAAAAGATGTGTTGGAAAGAAATATTGAATTGAAACGTTTAAGGTCATAAGTGTATAATTTTACCCAGTGGCGTTGCCAAAATTTGGGTGTTTGAATGTTGATAGAATGTTGATTGACCTTTAATAATATTTTTGAACACAGTATATTTGCACTTAATTTTCTCAATGAAGAGTCACAGAGTAGGTTTTTTTTTTTAAAATACCGGTACATAAAACACCATCCTTGGGTTAGTGAACTGATTTACCGAAATATCAAATTTTGCACATTTGAAATCGAATCACTTTGGGGCTGTCATAAGAGCTTCGGTTTAAAGTTGGCGGCGGGGGAGGGGGGGGGGATGCTTCGGTTTGAGTCGCTGACTTCAATCACTTGAGCGTAATTTTCATTAGGGCACCTAACATGTCCACGCCCTATACAAAGTCTTTATTTTTATTCATTTCAAATGAGTACAAAGTATGTTGTTTTGTAATTTGTAATTTTGTTTGAAACCATTTATTTGTTTATACTAAATGTATTGAAAAAAAAAATTCTGTTAAAAAGCAAGGTTGCTCGTCATAGAAAATGATGCTGACGTCATTATGCGTGTTGAAGTATATAAAAAAAAAACAACAAAACTGTACTGTAAGAATAATAAATACGCTACCTGCTTCATCATTCATGTATTTAAAATATATGCACCCGTTATAGATTACCATAATAAAAACAAAGCAATTTCTGTTTTATACAAACGGTCTATGAATTTTTAGGGCTCGGCCTATTTGAATTGGTAACTAAAAAAAAAAATGTATATAAATGTCATAGCTATGTACAGAAGATAGGATATATTTATAAAAGGCATCCTTTATTTATGACTACATCATTCATCTTAGGGAAGTTGAAGCAGTATGAATTTCCCCCAAAAATTCATTTATAACTTTAATTTGCTTCATATAAAAGACTAATTAATGAACATATGGCGCCTATTATAAAAAGTATTTCTTACATTTCACCCCCCCCCCCCTTTTTTTTTCCCACACACAAATAAACAAAATCCCTTTTTAAAAACAAAAAAAAAAATTTTTTTTCCAACACACAAATAAACAAAGTCCCTTTTTAAAAAAGAAAAAAACAATTTTTTTGTGTCTAAAATTAGTAAAAAAATTGGAATTTATATGACAATCTGTCGAACTTGTGAAAAATGCTTCTACTTCTAATTATCACTGTAATTTTTAAGCAGATTCGGTTGCATTCATAAAGATCCCTCCAATATTCATTAAAAATATGAGACCCTTTGATGCTCTTATAAGTGACAGTCCCTGGGCAACTGTCCACTTTGCCAAGAAAGTGCAATACCTTAAGACGGCACTGGTCTAGATTAGTACTTACGTTTTCCGATAATTTATTTGTTATATCTACATTTATTGAAAGATTTGATGCTTGACCTGAATATTTGAATATTTGTGATCTTGTCACTATGAAATTTTCTTTATTTCTGAGCTTTTAATTTTTAAAAATGTGTACTTTGTACTATATATTTTTGCCTGGAAAGATTAGCGGGACAACACTCTGGGAAACGATTTTTCTTTCTCCAGTTACTTCCCTTGTGTATAAATAAAAGGAAAATATTATTCCGTAAGTTGTGTATTAGCTGCAACTCTCCTCCCCCCCTCTCTCTCGCTCTCTTTCCCCCCCTCTCTCTCTCCCCCTCTCTCTCTCTTTCCCCCCTCTCTCTCTCCCCCTCTCTCTCTCTCTCTCTCTTAACAAAAAACAGCTCAAGTCAAAACTACTACTCAAGTCAAAGTCTAGGTCCTCTTCGCATGCGAAGGACGAACAGTAATACTACAAGTAACACTACGGTTCACAGATCTGGTTGTGATTTTTAACTGGGAGCTTTCATTACATTCCAAGCCAACACTGGATAAAGAGACAACAAAGTAGCAAACAAAAAAAACATCACAACATATTTTGATGTAGGTTTCTGCGATCAAATATTTTTGTTTATTGTATTTCCCCGATATCACCAAAAACAAAAAAATCAACGACTAAATCTTAACTTTATAAAGGCAATCATGAATCAATCAATAAAAATCACAAAAGATCAATGAAAGAAATGACATACATCAAAGATTTTACAAACAGTTGGAAAGGTCAAGGTAACGTTGACGTTATGCTACCCGAACCTGCGGTTTAATTACAACTTTTAAAAATTTTTTTTTTAAATGGAGTGATACATTTTGTTTGTTTTACAGCACTGAACGCATTACCTCACACAACAAGCAGCAGTAGCAACGTAATCGTTGTCTCAGTAACAGCGTACCGTACAACTCTTATCCTTTCAACCCCAGAAGTAATTTAAACATATTTCAATCTGCTTTAGCGCACAATGTTTTGGATTATGCGTGCGTGCGTTTGTGTGTGTGTGTGTTTGTGTATGTATGTGTGTAAGTATGTGTGTGTGAGAGAGAGAGAGAGAGAGAGA